CCGCGGAACGATTGTCAGTGTCTAATCTGAAAAGTAATCCGCACTTTCTAGTACTCCACATGGAACGCCAGTCATTCAAAGAGTTCAATGCGCCTTGACTTCCAGCCCTCCCTTCTCTCAAAAGGAGTTCTTGAACCATTTCCCACACTTTCCATAAAGAAAGGAATACAGAAGCAGCCCATGCACCCCACGGTTCCATTCCCAGAACCTATAACTCCAGTTTTTCAGTGTCCACAGCAAATTCCCTCTCCCTCGCCTCTCCCGTACCCAGCCCTCGCCCCTACCGTGTCCTCTCCACCCGCCGCCCCAGTTAAGCCCAGTGTGTCACTGCGGGGGAGCTTCAACTACTTTTTTTTTTTTTTTTTAAATCTTGTCAACTGCAGTCAGCGTCAGCGTTAGCCGCTGAACTTGGTCTGCCTGTGCCATGAGGCTGGGGGAGGTTGCGGGGGGCGGTCTGGGGGTTGGAAGGCCCTCATCTGCAGCTAGGGTTTGGCGCCCCGAGGGGAGGGCAAGCCCACAGTGGGCCCTTCGCAGTGGCCCCACCCCGGACGACACCCGGTGCTCCCGGAGCCCCGAGGGGGGAGAGGGGCATTTTCCGGCCGGCCCGCGCGCAGGGAGGGGAAAGCACGGGAAGGCAGCACCCCCCGGAGGCAGCCGCCGACAGCGGACGCGGCGGCCGGGAGAGCCGACCGCGCCGCGGGGCTCAGGAAGTGCGCAGCCGGGAGCAGCCAGACTCTGTCGGCGGGGGGCCGGGGGGGCGCGGGGAGAGAGCGGAGTCCGCGGCGCCCGGCAGCCAGCGCTCTACTCACTCGCACGGCTGGCGGGCGGCGGCCGGGGCGCGCGCTCAACTTGCTGTCTTCCGCTGGCGGAACATCCACGGCGCCCAGCGCGTCCTTCCTCCTCGCCGCTGTCCCTCACAGCCGCGGCCACCCCGGGGCGGAGAGCGGCGTCCGGCGGAGGCAGAGGGTCTCCCGAAGGCCGAGCTGCGCCGCCACCCGCGCAGCCCCCGCTGCCCGCGCTCTCCGGCGGTGGCTCGGGCGGAGCGCGGTGGCCACGCGCGGGGCGCCCGTGCTCTCACGCAGAGGAACAGAGCTCCCTTTGGCAGGCGAGGCACGCACCGCCTCCTCCCCTCGGCGGCCCGGCCCTCCTCTTTCTCTTGTCCCCTCCCCTCGCGCCCGGGGACCCACGGCCGGCGGAATGGGGACGCGGCGCGGCCGACCGGGACCCGGGAGTCCCCGCCCGTCCCGGGGGGGCAGCTCTGGCGGCTCCCCCAGCCCGAGCCCCCGCCGCCCTCCCCTCTTGGCGGCTCCTGCCAAGGGGAGGGCGGGGAGGCACGCAGACCCAGAAGTAGGGGACAAAGTTGCCGGTCTTGTCGGTGCTCCCGAGGGGCTGCGAAGACCAGACACGTTCCCTGGTTGCCTTTCTGGGGATGGGGTTTGCGGCTTAAGCGCCCGTTTCCTACCGGAGATGCAGATGAAAAGGAGCGTCTCAACACTGGGCAAAGTGACCTTTTGGAGCTTTGAGGAGGTCCTTGGGATGGGGTCACTTTGGAAGGAGTGAGAAAAGCCAGTTTGGACTGAGAGATAAGAACGGGAAGCCTAAGCTCAGGGATTCTGTCTGGCTAGCGTCTTTCCAGACAGGCCAGAGAGAAGGCAGGGGGAGACTTCCAGGGAGCAAGCCTCTACCCAGAGATACCATTTCTGGGAACCTCTTTCAAGCCATTGTATTCTCACCCTCTGTATCTCTCCCTCCCTCTCTCTTTATTCTCTTTCTCTTTATGCCTCTCTTTCCCTCTCCCTCTCCGCCCTCCTCCCCTCCTTCCCTTCCCTTCCATCTCTCCATCCAATCACTCTTGGAATCAATACCCTTAGATTTCTGTCTTTGCTTGTCCTTCTCGCTCACCTCTTTGGAAGTTGAGAGCTACATTCAGTAGAGAACTGTGGGAGTCTCTGTTGAAGACCATATTTGAAGAACCCCGCTGTGTAGGAATAGCAGTATGTGAAGCAGATACTTTCCGGGATAGTCTGTGAAGTGCTTTTTCAAGGGAGTTAGAAGTAATAAATGGGTAGGTATATATAATATTTCATAGTACATTTTCAAACTGCGTCATTTTAGTTAGCCATAATGGTGGACATTCTTCCCGCACCTACAGCTGGAGATACATGTTCTCTCATTATGATATTGAAAGGACTTGAGTAATGTCTTGGGTTTTGATTATCATGAGGAGGGAGGTGCTACTAGCATCTAGTGGTTAGAGGCCAGGGGTGCTGCTAAACACCTTGCAATGCACAGGACAACCTCTCAGAATTACTCAGACCAAAAGGTAAATAGTGCTAAGGTTAAGAAAACCTGTTTCAGTGAAATGTCAGGTGGTTCTCTGTTCCCCTGTAGCTCATCCCTGAAATCCCAGGTTCAGAATCCCTGATTCAAGTGATTTAAATTGTCTCATACAAATCACTGGTTACTTAGCTCCAGGATGGCTCAAATGATGGGTCTGACTTCCAGTTAGTGCCACGCCCGTAGCTATTACCCAGAGCTTTCAGATATATAATGTGAAGGTAGAAGATAGAACCTTATAAAGACAAAATTACAGTCATGAGATTTGGCCTCACCCTCCACACAACCTGCTGGGGAAACTGGTCCAGGACATTTCTCACGTCGGGAAGAGTTTTAAGCACTGAGGTGGATGGCTGGGATTACATCCTTGCTGTGTCAATCCCTATACTAACTTTTCTTATTAGACTACGTTATCTAGTCCCCAAAGAAGAAGAGGAAAAAAAACTATGAAGAAGGTGTAATTATTATTTTACAGAGAGGTTATGTACTTTGTCCGAGAGCTTACAGCTAAAATGCGGGCTTTAAAATAACTCATGGGCGCCTGGGTGGCTCAGTTGGTTGAGCAACTACCTTTGGCTCGGGTTGTGGTCCTGGGGTCCTGGGTTTGAGTCCCACATCAAGCTCCCCCTGCTCTGCAGGGAGCCTGCTTCTCCTCCCTCTGCCTGCCACTCCCCCCTGCTTGTGCGCTCTCTCTCTGTCAAATAAATACATAAAATCTTAAAAATAAAATAAAACAACTCACTATCTGCATCCTATTTAATAGAACAAAATGCTACTGGAGAGATTCTGCCTAAAATGAAAGAGAAGATAGACGAAGAGGTTGAATTTTTAAAAGATTTATTAGGAGGCATATATCAATTATTTGTGAAAGCATAGTATGTTATATAGTAGGACTCAAATTTCTTTTTTTTTTTTAAAGATTTTTATTTATTTATTTGACTGAGATCACAAGCAGGCAGAGAGGCAGGCAGAGAGAGAAAGAAGGGAAGCAGGCTCCCTGCTGAGCAGAGAGCCCGATGCGGGGCTCAATCCCAGAACCCTGGGATCATGACCTGAGCTGAAGGCAGAGGCTTTAACCCACTGAGCCACCCAGGTGCCCCAGGACTCAAATTTCTAAACTAGATGAATGCATTTGGACAAATGGTGAACTTTCTGAGCCAGAGTTCTCTCATTTGTAAAAAGAGACTGTAATAGATGGTTTTATAAATTTTAATTTAGTGAAGGAGGGGGCAGGGGAAGGGCAGAGGGAGAGCAAGACTCTCAAGCAGACTCTGTGCTGAGCAATATTCAGCTGACTAAGCCACCTAGGTGCGCCTGTAATAGACGGTTTTTAACATTGTCCTAGCTCATGACTTCTAGCATCATGATCATAGAAGTATTCATATATTTGAGAAGGAGTCTGGGAGTCATCTGATTTTGCTTAAGTACATTTAACAGATGAGGAAGCGGGGGCTCAGAATCCTTCTGGTGTGTTAACCAAAGCTGAGCTTAGAATCCATGTATCCTGATTTCCCTTCTCATTCCACCATATAATTATGTTCCCAAACTATAAAATCTTCTGAATTACTCCTTGGGTTTTTGTGTGTATACTTTATAGGCAAAATGCATTGTAATATCTTTAAAACCCTTGTATTAAATTTGCACCTTCAAAGGATCTTTAAATTATCTCCCAGCCGGAAGTTCCCACATAGCAGAGGCGGCTTGTACCTCTTACTCCAGGTTTGAGTTTCTAGTACATTTGGATAGTCGTCTTGTTGAGTCACAAGATGAGATCAGGAAGCTGTAGAGCATCTGACTACGCTCTTGGTTGGCGATCCAAGGTTAAGTCCCAACTCCTTGCCCTTGTAGGTAAATACCTCCCTTCCAACATCCTTAAAGCTAGTGGTGATCACGTGATCTTTTTAGCTAATGAGTCAACTGAGGAAGCCTCAGGGAAGATTGTATTCTCTGATAAAGGAGAACAGCTGTCTTCAGACACATTCTTGAAGGATGAGGTGTTTGAAGCTGTGGCAGCCTTCTCACAACCATGAGGAGAATCAGAGACAAAATTTAAAAATTTTGAAATTTTTAGAAGTAAATTATAGATTGTTAATACGGTTTAAATCACTGTTATTTGAATCTTCTGCTTATAGTAGCTGAAAGCATTCCTAATCGATAGAAGTGCCATACAGATAAGACATATGCTCAATGACAGGAAACCCAGCATGGTATCTGAGTGCTTCGCAGTTAAAGATGAATACTCAATAATTGAACATTAACCGGGAGAATTAATGAACAAATCAATATCATTGTGATTATGATCCTTGTTCCAGTGTAGCCTACAGAGCGTGTATTTAATTTTTAAACAAATAGGGTGTGCTATGTAAAATTAAGGAAGAAGTAGGATAGCGGGATAGAGGAAACGCCATGGAATCAATCACTTCTGACTATATGGGAGAGGTTGGAAAGGGACCTCTTCAGTTGATGTTTGTGATAAAAGCTACAGTTCGGCTCATACAATGCCCATTTCCAACCCTCTTCTTCTTTCTCTTTCTCTGCAACAGAAGCAGTGAAGGCTAAAATCTCCATTCCCCAGCCTCCCTTGATGTCTGAGTGGCCATGTGATGGTGCTGGCCATCGGTGAAAGTGGAGTGGTGCCGCACCTCTCTCCTCGCCCCCTCCCCGCCTCCCCATCCTCTTCCTCTTTCTTCCAGCCTTGAAAACAGATGTGATGGCACCTAGAAGCACAGAAGCCATTCTTCAGCCACGAGGTGAGAAGGATGATGACAAAAGCCAACACACTAAGAACGATGGAGTAAAATGGCGCCAAGAGTCTGGATGCTTGGTCTTTTCACTAGGCTGCTCTGTTATCCCCAGGCACCCTTACCTGTTTAGCTGGCAACAAACAGGCACCCACTAGACTACTGAAATGACCTGTTCTCTTGCAGTCTAGAAGCCAGCACCATGGGGAGGTGGATTAGACAAAGGGTGAGGGGCCACGAAGCAGAAGAAAGAAAGAGTGCTGGGGCACCATTCTTTTTCTGGCAAACGGTGGCTACAGTGGGCATGCATTGTCTATGGCATGTATTGGAAAAGGTGTGGACCCTTCTTAAAGTTTGGCGAGAGAAACAGGAATAGCCATGAACACAGTTTACAAAATAGCTCCCCTTAAAGTCCTAACCTTGAGAAATTTAAGAAAGACTGAAATTCTCAGCATTATCAAATGACCTGCCACGAGAAGGACCTCTGAATACAGGCCAGCAAGAGAGAGATGCGGGAAGGTATGGTATGTAAAAGAGAATTAGGGCATAACAAAAGCCAGGCTCTAAATACTAAATAGAGCCTGGGAAGAGAGATTTCTTTAACTGCTCCTGGTCTAGAGCTGATCAGTTCTGTATCAGAATACGTCATTTGTTCCTCCACAGAGGCACTGAAGAGAGGCTCCACTAGCTGAAAACTCATCACAGTGCTCAGGACAGAGGATGTAAAGTAAACAATTGGAGAACATGGTAAGTTCATTCTTTTGGCCACTTCTTTCCTCTGTTCATTCCTGAACTACCCTTGCCCCTCATGAATCTCTTCTCTCTCTTTTTTAAGAGTTTGTTTCTTTATTAGAGAGAGAGCGCGTGTGTGCACACACACGCATAAGGGTTGGAGGGGCAGAGGGAGAAGCAGACTCCCCGCTGAGCAGGAAGCCCAAGGTGGGGCTCCATCCCAGGGCCTCAAGATCATGACCTGAGCCAAAGGCAGACGCTTTACCGGCTAAGCCACCCAATGCCCCATGAATCTCTTCTCAAGACAAATATAAATGGGTATTGCTATGGTATTTTACTGCATTGTGTCCATCTTGTATAGAGGGGGAAAAAAAAACAAAACCATCTCACAAGACAAGTGAACTCTCAGGTTTCCTGGTCTCCATTTCAAGTAGTCTCAGAGTGAGATCATGGATTGCTTTTAGAATACTCTTTCTCTCTGCGTACATGGTTATGCATACATTTACCATGGCTGCCCTGACATCCTATTAAAGGAGGTTGCCTATTTCATTTTCTATGAGCTTTCTGTCATGTGTTTGATAGACTCAAGGCCTGTCTTCTGTAGAAATTGTGTCTAGTTATGTACAATTCTAAACATAGTGATTTGTATGACAGTATTCCTCAAGAACTCTCATGGAAATAAGGTGCATAGAGTCCATGGTCTGCTCCCAGGGGTGCTGTCTGCATTATTCATTTAAAGTTTGCAAACTACTTTAGCAATCTAAAGTGCCATATAATTTCTCTATATTATTCTTTTATGAATTAAAGCAGCATACAAATTTTAAATCAATAACTTATTCATAAGAAGCAAAAAATGTGAAGTGTTAAATCGCACTTTACATAACAAATATTTCACATTAAGCCATCAAAATGGAAAATGTCCATAATACATTATATATATTTTTTGCTAAATGACCCAGTAAGCATTTTCAAGTAGTACATGGTTATGTTTAATATTGAATCAGTGTCATGCGTTTGCTACTTTTAAATTCTTCTTTTTCTCTTTTTGTATCAAAAATCATCTCGGGCTTTTTCAGTGTTATGACTATGTCTTATGGGTTCTTAACATTTTCCCAGAACATGTAGAAAGAGGAGTATAATGAGTTCTATAGAGAGAGATAAGAATTGTTTTGTAATAATATTTGCTGCCAATCACTGATACCTTCTGAGAAAATTCACAAAGATGTGTTTCTGCAGCATTTTAAATTTGTAAATCCTCCCTTCATCAAAATAAGATGCATTGCAAGTATTATACTAATAGAGTGATCTAAGAGAAGAAAACCAAAACTTAAACAGTTAACTTAGTATTATAACACAGAGACGTTAACAAACTCTGGTTTTCCTAAAGTACATAATTTCACATTACAGCCGTTGTGAAATGGTAGAGGAGACATGCTTTTCCCCCATTTTTCTAGTTTTTTTCCTCAGGAGAAATTTTTCTTAAATGCACCTGGTCTCTCTCCACTCATCCAAGCAGCTGGGGTAATTGGAGGCTCAGGGGGGAACCCCTTTGTTTGCTCGGTTAGGGCTGCCCTTACCTCCTGGGTGAATATTCCACACAGGGCAAGACTCGAGAAAGGCAGAGTCTGGGAGAGCTGGCAAATCTGCTGAGCTCTGGGGCCCACTTCGCAGGCCCGTTTGCCCCTCACTAAGCTACATCCTTCACTTTAGCCTCCATTAGTAATAGCCATGATCTTTTGGTCTCCATCTGCCAGTTTTTCCCCTTCATTTGCCCAGATTGCATTGGGGAAGAGATGCACTATTTATTGGCCCCTGTCAGAGATCCTAATAGGAACATCACAAACTGAACATAAGCATGTTGAAATACTAATTAAATATGACTATTCTGTGACCAGTAACGGCAGCAACACCGGGTCTGTACTAACGGGGTCAGGAGAAAAGACAGGAGCTGACTTCAGCAGTCAGCCATAAGCTGAACTGTCAAAGATGGTGTCTGCTTGACTTGTGAGCTCGAGTACTTGTACACGTGTGGATGAAGGAAGAATGCTGTTTGGCTACTTATGCCTTCTAAAGATCAATGTCCCTGTGGGTTAAAAGCTGAAGAACGTGGGCGAGGTGACAAGCAGCAGAAGACACAAGAATAAAAATAGAATTAAGAGCAGTCTACAGCATCAACCATTTCAGCAGACAGACATTAGAAGTGTTGGTGGGGGTACTAACAGCAGTGGGGAGGGAGGAGAGAGAGGAAGGAGGAAGAGAGCAGGAGAGGGAGTGGGGAGGAGAGTAACAGAGGCAGGGAAAGGCAAAGAGAAATAGAAGACAACGGCTCTGTTCTGGTTTTATTTGTTTTGCTTCGTTTCCAGGGAGAGAGGCGTGAATAGGACTTCTGTGTCCTCTACCTTGAAGGCACAGGCATGGGGTTCTTGCCATGTCTGGTGAGGGCTGGGAAAATATAGACCCGACGGCTCAATCATTACTCCGTGAGGAGTTGTGTGCCAGGAAAAGGACATGTCAGCTAGGAAGCACTAGCAGTCAAAGGGCCTTCGCTCCATGCAGGGAAAAGAGGGCTGTGTTTCCCAGCCCTCTGTCAACTCCTACAGTAACAACCCACTATCATAACTGATGTTTGATATGATGCCTTTTCCAAGTGCCCAATCAGCCAGTCCTTCCTCCATGCTTCTGACCAATGTATACCTCTTCTACTACAGAGCTTACAACGATGCGTTATCATTATTTGGTTGTGAATGCATACCCCAGACCCGATCATGAGCTCCTCAAGGCCTGCCTTACTCAGCCTTTCAAGCACATAGCAGGTGCTTACAGTGTCGGGCCTAAAACTTCATGGACTGCGTTGATATCTTGGAGCCTCGGTAGGCCCCAAAGGCCTGGCTGTGAGTCCTGTACTCCCTTTTTTTTTTTTTTTTAAGATTGTATTTATTTATCTGACAGATCACAAGTAGGCAGAGAGGCAGGCAGAGAGAGAGGAGGAAGCAGGCTCCCCGCTGAGCAGAAAGTCCGATGCGGGGTTCAATGTCAGGACCCTGGGATCATGACCTGAGCTGAAGGCGGAAGTTTTAACCCACTGAGCCACCCAGGTGCCCCTGTGAGTCCCGTACTCTTGCCAGATGTGCCTCACACCCAGAAGGAGAAGTTGCTCTCCTGACCAGCTTCTCTGTTAGCTAAACCAGCTGCACCTCATGGGGTCCTCAACCTAAGGGCTCTCAGCTCCCTTCCAGCCCACAGAATTATTCAAACAAGTTGATCGCATCCTCCTGCGGGAACCCAGGGCACTTCCCCCTCTCCTTACTCCAGGCCTTGCCTCCCACTGCCCCTGCTGGTTCAGTCTGCTCCCAGGTACAGCTCAAGTGTGGCCCGCACCCCGCCTGGTAGGATCCTCCTCCCCAAGCCTGTGTGTTGATTGACCAATAAACTTCTGTCATCTCATCCAGCTGGTGCCAGGTGTTAGGTGTTCACCATCTCATGCTACTTAGGGTAAGGGACCCTACTCATCAATGAGATGATCAGAAAGTGCTGAATAAACACTTGATAAAAAAAATACCTGATACCATGATAGATGGGATACCATCATATCATCAAAAAAGACGATAGGGGCGCCTGGATGGCTCAGTTGGTTAAGCATTTGACTCTTGGTTTCGGCTCAGGTCATGACCTCAGGGGTTTTGGGATCAGGTGGCACATCAGGCTTCCCGCTCAGCATGGAGTCTGCTTGAGATTCTCTCTCTCCCTCTCCCTTTGCCCTTCCCACTCGTGCTCTCTCTCTCTCAAATAAATAAATCTTTAAAAAAAGACTACATTATACATCTTTTTTTTAAAGATTTTATTTATTTATTTGATAGAGAGAGAGATCACAAGTAGACAGAGAGGCAGGCAGAGAGAGGAAGGGAAGCAGGCTCCCCGCTGAGCAGAGAACCCGATGCGGGGCTCGATCCCAGGACCCTGGGATCATGACCTGAGCCGAAGGCAGAGGCTTAACCCACTGAGCCACCCAGGTGCCCCCATCTTTATTTTTTTAAAGGTACTAAATTTTAGGATGTGCTTTGGAAACATTTCCATTCTACAACAGCCGAAATTTCAGAATGTGAAATCCTTCGATATCTACAAATATATTAAATCACATCAGCCACTCCTTGATTATTGCAGGTAAAGTTTTTACTGTTGTAACAGATAAGCAATTATTTATAGTATGACTGAGGGACTTTTTTCATTGGGCTTATCTGTGTACTCCTGATCTGCCTCAAATAACCCAGATCACTTCCAGAATTAAAATGCTTAATAGAAGCAAAAGGCAGTTATCAATCAAATGAGGTCTCTGAAATACAGAATGACTAAATCCAACCCATTGGACAGAAAAGCTTATGGAGAAGCATATTTCAGATCAGAGTAGGGAAGTGTCGGAGTTGTCCCTGAAGGGATCATACATTTCAAAACCTCGAGAACTGCAACATAATAGGTGTCCACTCAAAGAGCATATCCATGAGTCAGGAATGTTGTAGAAAATAATCCAGATCTGCTCTGAAGTTCTACTAGATTCTTTTCTATTCCCTTTCAGTGTCCTGGGGCCAACCTTTTCTCGAACCCTTCTGTAATAGCTGAAAGCCGTATCTGGTGAGTGCTCTACCTATTTCTGCAGATTGCTTGGGGACCCTCTTGTTTCTTCTTGCTAAGCGGTGGGTCACACACCTGTCTCACCCCAAGTGTATGTAGCCCAAGTGGTGAAAGACCTCTTCCTCTTTATCTCCATTAGGTGACAGCGTTTTTAAAGGCTCTGAGGACAACCAGGGATGGGGTTGCATTTTAGCCCTGCAAACAAATGAAATATTGGGCCTCCTAATCCCAAAGCCCCCTGCAGTGGGGAGCTTCCCAGGGGTTACTACCTCCTTACTATCTACAGCCATCTTGGCTATAGATAGTTGGGTCCCTCTTCCTGGACACCCCCTTCATTTGCCCCTTCCTGCTCCCCAAACTTTTTCTGAACCCCATATCTCCTCTTTATC